GGGTGGAAGACGTGGATACTATTGGAATGGACCGAATTCAACGAAAATGGAACTGAAACGGCCACAGAACGTTTAAGAATGCAGTAACTCTACGAAAGAAAAGTAATAAATCGGGAAACATTTTTATTATTATTCACCACTGTAGAAAGACCAAGTCTTGCATTAATTTAAAATAAAAATCCTAAATCAGTAATTAAAAGTGAAACTTGGCCATGCATTCGAAGGGGAGGGATTCAGAAAGAATATTATAAAATGATATGGGGGTTTTATGAAAATGTTGTTATGAAATGGAATATTTGAATATAATATATTGGACATGTTATAACCAAATATTCTATTTGATAACAATTCAACAGAATACAGATGGAACTGTGTTAAACCGAAGCATTGTTTCTGAAAACTAGTAAAGCAAGTTCCCAATTCTGCGTAAGGAAGAAATAAATAATTATCATAGGTAATACCACGAGTGCTTTGAAAATTGTTGATAAAAATTCCCGACTCGCGAAGCGAGAAGGGGATTTACGTGAGAATTTCCAAAGCACAAGTGGTATTTAATAGGACTATTCCGAGTGAAATGATGTCAACAGAGTTCCAAAATCCGCCAAATATTGAAAATAACTGAAAGCACATGTTGAAATCGAAGGTTATGTTGTAGCACTTACGCTGTTTATTGGACATCGACATAGCGATCGATGATCGAGGCCTCCTACGATATGACAGCCAGTTTGATCGGCCAGTACAGAGTTTGTGTAACAGCCCTAGTATATATGCGTGTGGCCTAGAACAAAAAATACTTTTCGAATGACAATTACGTGGAACAAGAACGCATACCATACACTACATAATACTTTGACAAAACTTAAGGGGATGGGACAATAGCAAGATAAGCCACACCAACCACAAGAAGTCTCCCCCCGTTCGTAAATGCTAATATATGGATTTAATCTTGGAATATTAAGGACTTGTTTCAAAGTTCATATACGTGAAGGATTGAGACAATATCAAGGTAAGCAATGCTTTGACCAAAGATTTTAACATTATTGGATACCGGGAAGCTTCCAGCGACTAGTGTGGCGTATCTAGTAAGGTTTGATGCAGCAAACCTTTGTTTTATGTCTGTAATTACAAGCAGAATATTTTTTCACGATTTATTTTAAAAATTAAGAATTATACACATTAACAATATTTATGTGCATTTGTCTTTGTGCAGATTTTATACATTTCTTTTGTTTTTGTCTGCATTAATTGTACTCCTTTTAACATGTTCTATAATACTTTGTTTTAGCAATTTTGATGCATCTTGCGTAGAACTGTTGTCAAATTCCGCTTCCTTCCACCACCACACAAGACGTGATGTAAAGCAGTTTCTGTAAGAACAAAATATATTTTCTGAATGCAGTCATAATAAATCATTCAAGGAGATAAGTCATTAAAACCCTTTATACCTACTTATCAAAATCTAAACCGCTGGAGAGGTCAGCAAATCCACAAGAGAATTCTAGGCATTGATAGAAAAAGAGGCTAAGGAATCCCCATAGGACAATGTTAAGGTAGTACCCATTACCTTGGGAGAGTCAATTTGTTTCTTATTCCCGACAAATTTAATAAATCACATACAATTAATAATAATAATAATAATAATAATAATAATAATGAGAAGAAGAAGAAGCAGAAGCCGGTCCCCGGACGATCAGATGACCGAGATCGTTAAGGCAGTAGTGCTTAGAGGTCTTGGACCAGACAGCGGGTTCGAGACCCGTCTCGGACATGGGTGTATTTGTATGGGTGTATAAGTAAATACTTTCGTACACATTTTTGAGTATTAAAAAATAGGACATTCCCCTTGATTTTAAGTTTTCGGGTAATTTTCTCTTATTTTTAAGCCGCTTTCAAAGAATTTTTAGGTCATCAGAATCCGAGCCCTAGTCACAACTAAAGGCGAAACAACATTGCCTTACCAAGGGATACAGCCCAAAAAGCTGATCCCCTTAATGTCACACGTTAATCTCTCCAGGATAAATAGGACTGAGTCTCGGAAGATAACGGGATCATAAATGACCGATACGCATATAATAATAATAATAATAATAATAATAATAACAATAACAGACGTTTGTCTGCACAAGAATAAACGTATTGTGCAAATACGTGTCTGCATCTCGTGTACAACTGGAGGCAGCCCTGGAACCCGTAATCTGTGAACACTGCTCTCCTGAGCGACTTCAGAGCATCTGACTCTTTTGCGCGAACCAAAAAACCCCATAGTCCACTCAACTTCTTTAAAGTGCACAGCGGTCTGAACAGTGCAATGATGCCTCGTTACACATGGCGTGACTCAGGCCATCAGAGCTATTCTTCCGTCTGCCCACGCAAATGTCGCTACACTTTCATCACCTAGCGGGAAAAAAAGGGAGACGAAACGAATTTTTTAGCTCAGATGCTTCTTTAAGGAATCAGGAGATTTTGTATTAAATACATCTACAACACGGGAGAACCGGCTTCACTTCCTCTGCGAAGGAAAGCGTAAGAAATATTTTTTACGCCCTTGAAAATTCACGGCTTCGATTGGGTTTGAACCCGCAGTCTCTAAAGACGGTTTTTCAAGATTCCAAAAGTGTTTGAGGATATAGGAATTAAAAATATCGCATTTTTACTTTCCCGTATATACGTAGTATAGGGAACGTTATGTAATGCTGCGGGAAATCGATTTCGAGATTTCAACGGAAATACACTTTTGGGGGTCCCCTGATACAAAAAAGTGTTTTTTTTCTTCAAAACGTCCGTCCGTCTGTGAACACTATTAGCGCTCAAATCATACTATAACTTTTTCCAAAAAGGATATTCCCCGGTCTATCTGGCTCCACTCCACACGCCGCGATTTTGTAAAACTTTCTTCAAAATTTGGGGGTACTTTACATAACTCCCTTGGGACATTTTTAGAATTTTCTCAAAAACTGCTCAACATTTTTTTCTTTAAATTTCTTGTACGAATAGAGAAAAATACACTTTTAAAGGTAGCATAGATCCGATTTTCACGGATAACATTCCTAAATTGACCAATGTAGGTGGCGTTGACACAGTACCCACGTCGGGTACGTCGGGTACACCAGTACCCAAAGACATTTTTAACTTAATACGCCATAATTTTCTTTCGCTACGTACACTCATGACATCTTTAAGTGAACAATTGAATTATCATGTAAATCGCGCTGCAGTCTGATATGAGCTTAGAACTACCGTATTTTAAAAAATAAATTTGCGTAAACCTACGAACTGTATCGCCACGAAACTTATTGTACTTGAATTTCAAGTAAATATAAAGAAAACAAAACTGTGAGTAATACTATCAAACGAATGAATCGACTCGCACTTTTCCGTTCTTACGTATGATTGCAAATAGTATAGGGAAAGTTATGTAATACTGCGGAATATCGATTTCGAGATTTCAACGGAAATACACATTTTGGGACCCCTGTTACAAAAAAGTGTTGTTTTTTTTTCTTCAAAATGTCCGTCGGTCCGTCTGTGAACACTACTAGCGCCTAAAGCATAATATAACTTTTAAAACGAATGTGTTCAACAACTTATTCTTATTAAACTTAAGTAACACCTTATTCACATAAACATACAAAAGTTGACTTTTAATGTTAGATTCGCATACAAAACAATTAATAGATCAATTACAGAAGTAGAAGTGAACACAAATTATACTGAATTTGTGAAGTTTTAATATCTTCAAAAATTAGGGGAGAAAAATATGGAAATGTTAAGGAAATCCGGGGAAAAATCAAATGTAGTTGTAAAAGATCTTGCGACAGAATTTTCGGAAATAACTGGAACGACTCGCATTTTTACTATCTCGCACTTACAAAAGAAGTAATTGTAAAATATTGTAATCGTGCGCAAGGAAAACGCGTATTTTCGACATAAAAACTCACATTCCCGGGTCCCGGTAAAGAAAAGGTGAATAAATCCAGTTTCAAAATTTAAAAAAATCTTCTAACGTGATGTCGGCAGAATCCATGTTTCGTACGTCTTTTTACCGAAAAGAAGGCGATTGACGGCAAAAAGGCTGTCTGTCCATCTGCGTACAACGCTAGCGCATAAACAGTCCACACGATTTTCTACAAAATCGATATTCCCCAACCGTTCTAGCTGATGTCGCGGACCCTGCGCTTTGAAACCAATATTTTAATTTTGGGGGGTACCTAACATGAAACCCCTGGGACGTTTTCAAAATTTCAAGAAAATGGCTCCACATGTTGACTAAATTTTGTTGTTGCAAAGAACGTTTAAGAGAATAGTGTAGGTCTAATTTTCGTTGAGGACGAGGTTTTACTGTTCTTTAATATCCTTAAAGTAATATTTCCGTTTTACTATTAAAAAACCGAAAAATTAAGAAAAGTTTTAAACAATGTACTTTGGGCAAAATATGGCAGCTGGCAAGAGAATGTGCAAGTCCGAATAGCTAACCAAGGCCAAAAGAAATAGAAAATTAATACGGGAAAGTCCCTGCTATTCTGTAGCACCACTTGTTTGTTAGGGCATAACGACGAACGTAGGAGGGGAGAGGGCTTGAACGAACTTTCAATTATTATTTTCAGAATTGTAATAGTATTGAATAATATCTAATTGTCAACTGAATTACAAAACGGACTTCTATCTGCGAACGCTATTACAATAGGGAAGAAGTGGATTTTTGATGAGCATTGAACAATTATTTGAATATTATGAAGTGTCGCACGGTGTTGCCCCTCGATTCGAATTACAGGGAAAAATTTGCGTACGCGTAACAACTTTAATATTCGACGAACCGGGAATAAATTTGCAAAATTGCAGTTGACATTTTTTAAAGTTGGCTTAACTTTTCACTTTTACGTTCCTAAGTGTACAAATACCGATTTTCAAATAAATGTGACTCAGAACTTATTCTCATTGAATTTAACTATTCTTTATTCTCATATTCACTTTATTTTCATAAACATACAAAACAGTCGCCTTATAATGATTATATAGGTTCGCATACAAAACGATCAATAGAGCAATTGCAGAAGTAGAAGTGAACACAAATTAGACTGAGTTTGTGGGGTTTTAATCTCTCCAAAAATTAGGGGAAAAAATATGGAAGGGTTAAGCAAGCTCGGAGAAGAATCGAATGTAGTTGTAGAAGATTTTGCAACAGAGTTTTCGGAACTAACAGAATGATTTTATATTAGGATTAAATAATAACCCTGAAGAAAGCTTACAGGTGATCTTAGTGTATTATTGCGCATTTAGCAAAATTTGTAAAACAAATGTAGCTGTACTAAATTTATTATTTGCATAATCAATTCAAGTATTTTTTACGGCGATTATAATTTTGAAATCGTAATATTGCGAGTTCATATCCTGTGAGGTAAAATACAAGGCCATTGAGTGTTGGGAATTTTTGAAGGCGAGTATAACATTATCAGTTACTATGATTCATTGGTAAGTCTAATGACATATATTGTAAGAGTAAATCTGAGCCAAGCTACGCATGAAAGAATTTTTCAACAAATGAAAATACTTTTAAAAAAGTTTACAGAGCCCCTTTCAACTAGTTCATTAATATTTGTCAGAATTTTAGATTCATTTCAATAGCTGTCCAATGTGGGTAAATCGTATAAATGAGATTTTTAATATGGTGTAAGTACTATTCATCTGGAAATGTACAATGAACAATTGATGTTCAACGTTCGACGAGACATGCGAGTATTTCCATGTCAAGCATTTTCTAACAACAGCCCGTGCGCCATGCACTCTGTTCCCGTTTCTTAGCGGAGAGAGTTGCGCCCGCTTGCACCTTCCAGACGTCACCCTCGGGAGAAAAGTCGTAAAAAAAGTATAGAAAAGGAAGTGGTGTGACGTAGCCGGCCGCCAAGACTATGAGAGCTATCCGTATAGAACAAACAATAAAAAAGGAATGGCAATTGGAACAGGAATTATCCACTTTTTCGTCACCAGGGCCTGGCAATAAGGGATTTTCTGCCGAAAATTCGCCGTATTTCAGCGCACGATTACAATACTTTCTCTTCTTACAAAGTTCAAGAAAGTAATAAAAAAACCGGTGACATGACACCTTCCGAACTCATTATTTTAGGACAAACTAGTGGTGCTACAGAATAGCACAGACTTTCCTATATTAGTTTTCTATTTCCTTTGGTCTTGGCTGGCTATTCAGACTTGCCACATACTCTTGCCAGCTGTCATCTATTGGCACTCAAAGTACAATTTTTTCCATTTTCTCAATTTTTCGGTTTTCTCATAGAAGAATCGAAATATTAATTTAGGTATATTAAAGAACAGTAAAACATCATCCTAAATGGCAATTTTGTTTGAAAACTGGAGCCATTTTCATGAACAAGGCGTTTACACTCTACTGTAAATACGAAATTTTAAGCACTTTTTCGAAAGCTTAATAATTTTCTGTGAGAAACTCCATTTGAAGTCATTTAAGCACATTAACTCACTAATACATTAGTGTTTACAATTGCTGGAAATGTGCATATTATTGTGAATTTGCAAGACCTCTCAAAAAAATAGTGTAATTTTGTGTATTTAAAACAACAAATGAATACATGAAAATTCATTTTATGTAATCTTCAACAGTACACTATCTAGCACATAGCACTATCCATATGAACAGTTTGAAGAAACAATTTGGAGCTTTTTTTTTGAGAAAATGGCGTGTGAATGTTTCTAAAAATGCAGAATTTTGAGCTATTTTTTCAGAAAACTATTGTACAGCACTAGCACATGTACTTATAAATATAATATTGTAAACAAATTGCTGTTAATATTCAAAACTAACAACATAAGAGACCAGTCCAAAAAATTACATTTTTGTAATTTTTGAAAAAACAACAGAATAGAGCAACATGGTGTTTATGTCATCTTATAGAGTGCATTTAGCACTATACCTACCAAAAGTTTACTGAAAAAGCTTGGGGCCGATTTTGAAACAATCTTGTTTTTGTAATGTTTTAAAATTACGAATATTGTATGCAATATTGCTTGATAATTACTAAATTTTTCAAAAAACTTACGTAACCTTAACGTTGGAACTAATTACGAACAACAAATTTTATATGGAAAAAAAACCTATCTTCCATTTTGTAGTTGTAGTAAGAAATGAAAAAAATTGCCACTCTTGAAAATTCAGAGATTTTCTATAAAAATCGGGCATATGCCATCTTTATAACTGTATTTAACGCTATTCTTACAAGAAATTAAAAAGAAAAAAATTGGAGCCATTTTTGAGACAATTTTGAAAATGCCACAGGGTACTCATGTAGAGTTTTTAAGAAATTTTATTAAATTTTAAAGAATGGTTTTCAAAATCTTATAGCTACAACAAGAGCCAGAAGGACAGGGGTTTCTTCAATTTGGAAAAATCCTTCATATGGCTTAGGCGTTAGTGGTGTTCTCTGACGAACAGACAGATGGAGGTTTTGAAGAAAAAATAGATTATGCTTCTTTTATGCAGGTGACTAAGGTTATTTAGTGGCAAGTGACAAATAGTAAGTATTAAAAGGGATATCTACTGCAAGTATTTATCAAATTTTTACAAAATAATAGCAATGAATCGAGTACTTCAAGTCAGGGATCAACATAGGGATATTGTTAAACTTTACACCTTGATTTCTGATTTTGAGCTCCGATGCAGATACAACCTTTGTACTTACCACAGCAATATGGTGATAGAATTTCATCTGCTGATTGCATAAAATATTTCACAAAACGGATGGCAAGTCTAATCTCTACTTCGAGCCTTCTCTGAAGGAGCAATAAATCACAGTGCAACTGAACTCAACTAGTTGGTTATATTTCTTAATACAATCAACGCTGATTATAGTGAACTCAAATATATTGATCTTCGGGATGTAGTGAACACGAATACACACTAGAAGATTTGTTTGTTGTTTTTTTTTAGCTCTGAACATTGATTATAATGAATTTAGGAAATCCAACTTCCATAAAAGTGTGCTTTGTCTCAGCAACATACAAATTCCAATAACACTAGATAGCCTGGAGAAGAAGGAAAAACAAACAGATTTGGAGAGACAAGTTCATCTTTAGCCAGGGGTGGGTCCAGGACAAGGGGGCAGGGGGTGGTGGCAGCGGCGGCAGACACTGGAGAGTGGAAACTTACTGATGATTTTGTGCCACCCTTTTTCACTATGGAAACTAAAGGGTTTACAGGTGGAGGATCTCGACAAATATTTTTGTATCATTTATGTCGAGTGAAGAAAGCACTTCAGAGAGTATTGCAGAATGTCAACACAGGAACAAGATGCAGCCTGGGAAGGAAAAATATTTGCAGTGAGAAGGCCATGTTCAGCAATCATGTCGAAGCCTAAGTTGTTTTTTTAATTTCATTTTATTTTTTATTGTTACTTTTTGGAAGAGAAGGCAGATATTGTTGATATTCAGGGTCAACTTTCACAATATTACTAAAATGTGTATTTTATTTTGGGAATCTCAGAAATAACGAAGAAAACATTTTGCTCCTCCGAGGTTCACTATAACCAGAGTTGACTGTACTTCACCTCTTCATTTGAATTTTGTATCAATTAGGTTACTTCATAAAGAACACAATAAAAACTTACATAAAATCAGCACATGCCTCTGGAGGTCTGTCTTTATCAAATAATGATGCTTTTCCCTGGGCCCCATAAAATCGATGGCCTGTACTTCGGCTGAAAGCTCTTGTCCAAGGAGCTGTAAAATGCAAAGGAAAAATTCAGAGAACTGTAATACTGGGCATTAATATATACACAGATATGGAAAGATATATTTGCAGAACATACCAACAGAGAATCTACTGAAAAATAGCATTTTCAGTTCATATTCACACCTTTTGGAAATATTTTATGTTTGCGAGTGTGCGCGCGCGCCCATACACAAACACACACACAAACAAACACACACACACACACACAAACACACACAACCCCGTGTGGTTGCCGGGTTCTTTTGTAGAGTAGTGCCATGGGGCCTTCCCCTGTAGTAAGAGGCGACTAAAAGGAGCAACTGTCCGCTGCCCTTTCCCTAAATATCCTTACTTTCCCACCTAGTTTTCCTCCCATCCCACAAGACCCGATAGGTGGACTGAGTAGCTTATGGGATCTTGCTCCCTATCCCTACGAAAAGTCCCTTCTCACCTTCCTTCCAATTCCATTTCTGCTGGTGGTAGCATATAAAACGCTAAGCGAAGGTCACCCCGAAAATAAACCAGTGATGGGTATGAGTGAGCCTCAAAACTTATTGCCCCAAGCGAGTCGAGCGATCACGCCGAATCTCGCCACCGATGCTGGTCGAGTGAAAGCCCCCGATGGTCGGTGCCCGCTCCATGGATTTTGGGGGGAGCCAAGCTCACAAGAGTGTTTGGGAAGAGAATAGGAGAGTGAAGTTTCTGGAGTTGGGGAAGAAGATCGGGGATCTCCTGTATTTTGTCCTGCCAAGGAATAATGTCCACGGGGAGATAAAGCGTATGGTGAGTTCCATCCGAACAGACTTTGGTGAGATGGTAGACATGGAGGAGTCACTATCTGTAATTAGCTGTTATCTCAGTAATTAGCTCAGTATCTGTAGTTGAGGCGGAGACGCAGACGTCACCGCAGACATGGGGTGTTGACCCGAATACTGATGGTTATGGAGGGCCATCGACAGCAGCGGCAGAGTTGCAGCCTGCAGTGAACAATGCAATGACCCCGAAGACAGAGGGGGACCGCGGGACTTCGCCCTGACGTTCGGTAATTGACCGGGAATTCTGATGATGTTCGTAAGTCCTCGGCGCGGCGGAGTGCGGGACCGCAGTTGGAAACGATGCTGATTGGCCCGAAGATGGTGGAGTGTGAGACGCAACATTCACCGCAGACAACTGATATTGCCCGAATGCTGATGATATGCTGCCCTCGATCAGCGGCAGCGGAGTTGGGACCGCAGCAGGGCCGGGTGACGAACGTCGTCGAGAAAGAGAACACGCTGCAAAATCTACCGAGAGTGGCAGAGAGTAAGCGAACAGAGTCGGCTCAGGAAGGAACTAAACATACTGAAGTTGCTCAGGCACTGAACAAACCGTCGATCGCAGACACCATGCAAAATAATGAAATGGTAATGGATTGGCATGTCGTAGGGAAAGACCGAGGCCTCGATAGCCGCACTTCTTATGCCGCGATTTTGTTTATTGTTAAGGCAAATCATGGAGGGCCCTTCGATATTGCGACATTCAGGGCAGATCAAGAGCGACCTATCTCTGAAAGCTGCTGCGTGAGAACGTCGACAAGTGGAGGCAAGTGTGCACCCGGATACTGGTGCTGGAGTTGCAAATCTAGCAGCCTCCGAGATACTGAAGTACATCCAGAAAACTGCGCTGGTGAGTTACGCAAGATAACGAAGCGGAAAGCGAGAAATGACGAAGCGGAAGAAGACGGACCACTACGTCAGGCTGCAAATGCTTGAGGGAGTGAGTGCTCTGCAAAATAAGAAAACCACCTGACGGGGAGTTTCACGTGTCCGGTCTTACCAAGTAGCCCGTTGAACGCAAATGGATAACAGAAAATGAGAGTCCTCCAGAAAATTTAAATCAATGTGAGGGGCCCCAGGACCCTTCTCACCCAAGAGGTGCGCGAGCATGGAATATGATGTTGCATACTCTGCGCAGACAGGAATAATTGCCGCGTCTCCAATCCGGTCGTTTCGGGATTCGACTAAAACCGTGCTTTGTATGATGTGCGGAAATAAGTCCATTCCAGGATGTTATGCAAAAGTTCCCAGGGGATGACTTCACCCTGGTATCAAGGACCTGTTCGGTGTATATTTCTATAGTATTTATGCTGCACCCAGTGTATCGCTTGAGGACTTTGAGGAATTACTTGATTGCTTAATAGATGACGCGAGAGAACGAAGGCCTCTTATTATTGCTGGGGACTTTAATGCACGGGCCACGTAGTGGGGCACCAGAAAAACGAATCGACGCGGGGTGGCTCTCCTGGATAGCCTTGTCAGTTTGGATGTCTGCCACTGCAACACGGGAACCTGTCCGACCTTTGTAATAAATGGTCGCAGCTCGGTCGTTGACCTAACTTTCGTTTGTAAAAACCTTGCTAGACGGATTGTATCATGGGAGGTTAGTGCACATTATACACATAATGAGCACCAAGCTATTGTCAATGAAGAGAAAGAGCAGTGCAAGTTGAGTCCAGCAAGGGGTAGAAGGAAAGCTGTTTGGAACCTAAGGACGTTCGATCGTGAGTCCTTCATTACCATGGAGGGCAACTCTGAAGATATGGTAGAAACCGTAATGAACCGGGTATTTAACACTTTTGATGCGTTAATGACGAAAGGTCCAAGGAGAGAACGCCGGCCTCCAGTGTACTGGTGGACTGACGAGACCGCGGAACTTCGCAGAGAATGCCACCGAACACGTAGATTGGCACTTTCTAAAGGAGCAGCATATGGACGCCAGAAGAGCTTTCACCAAAGCCATTAAGATCAGTAAGTGTTGTTGGAGAGAGCTAGGTGCGGAGGTGGATGCTGACCCCTGGGGGCGCCCGTGTAAGCTGATAACGGCCAGACTCAGGGGTATGTCCACGCCACCTCCCACTTGCCCGGTTTTCTTGGCAAGAGTTGAAGATACCTTGTTTCCTCGCCAGGTAGATATGATACAACCTTAGGATCGTCTTGAATATCTAAGAGAGGTTCCGGCACTCACGTTGGATGTACTTTCCAGAACTTGCGGCAAAGTCCAAGATTGCAAAGCCCCCGGATTAGATGGGGTACCAAATGTAGCTATTAAGGCTCAAGAACGGAAGGCCAGAAGGCGCAAGAACTATTGAATTCGCTGACGATGTTGCAATTGTAGTAGTCGGCAAATACACCGAAGAAGTCACGCAGGTTGCCAACGAGGCTGTGTCGGAGATCCGGCGGTGGCTTACGTCGGTAGGACTACAGATGGCCGAACATAAACAGAGGCTGTGCTGGTGACGGGCAGAAGAGTGAGAGAATGTTACTCTTAATGAAGGAGGCTGCAAAATATCCTCGCAGCTGTCACTGAGATATTTAGGAGTGCATATTGACGCGAGACTGCGCTTCGACGAGCACCTGAGCAATGTCTCCGAGAAAGCGTCTCGTATGGCATCAGCATTGGCACGCATTATGCCTAATGTAGGGGGTCCTAGGCAAAGAATGATTTAATCTTGGAAATATTAAAGGACTGTTTTCAAGTCATATACGTGATAGGATTGAGACAATATCAAGGTAAGCAATGGCTTGACACAAGATTTTAACATTATTGATACCGGACCTTCCAGCGGACTAGGTTGGCCGTATCTGTAAGGATTTGTGCAGCAAACCTTTGTGTTTATGTGTGTTAATTACAAGCAGAATATTTTTTCACGATTTTATTTAAAAAATTAAGAATTATACACATTAACAATTTATGCATTTGTCTTTGTGCAGATTTATACATTCTTTTGTTCTTTGTCTGGCATAATGTCGTACTCCTTTTAACATGTTCATAATACTTTGTTTTAGCAATTTTGAATGCATCTTGCGTAGAACTGTTGTCAAATTCCGCTTCCTTCCCACCACCACACAAACTGCATGTAAAGCAGTTTCCTGTAAGAACAAAATATATTTTCTGAATGCAGTCATAATAAATCATTCAGGAGATAAGTCATTAAAACCCTTTATACCTACTTATCAAAATCGTTAAAACCGCTGAGGAGGTCAGCATCCATAGAGAATTTCTAGGCATTGATAGAAAAAGAGCTAAAGAATCCCCATAGGACAATGTTAAAGTAGTACCATTTACCTTGGGAGAGTCAATTTGTTCTTATTCCCCGCAATTAATAAATCACATAAAACAATTAATTAATAATAATATAATAAAATTAATAAGAGATGAAGGAGAAGAAGCAGAAGCCGGTCCGGACGATCAGATGCGAAGATCGTTAAGCCAGTAGTGCTTAAGAGGTTTCTTGACCAGACAGCGTTCGAGACCCGCTCGGACAGGGTGTTATTTGTATGGGTAGTATAACGTAAAATACTTTCAACACATTTTGTGAGTATTAAAAAATAGAAATTCCCCTTGATTTTAAGTTTTCGGGAATTTTCCTTATTTTTTAAGCCTGCTTTTCAAAGATATTTTTTAGGTCATTCACGAATTCGAGGTCTAGTCACAACTAAAGGCGAAACAACATTGCCTTACAAGGGATACAGCCCAAAAAGCTGATCCCCTTAAGTCACACGATTAATCTCTCAGATACAATAGGACTGAGTCTCGAAGATAACGGATCAATAAAAGACCCGATACCATATAATAATAATAAAATAATAATAATAATAAGAATAAAATAACAGACGTTTGTCTGCACAAGAATAAACGTATGTCAAATACGTGTCTGCATCTCCGGTTACAACGGAGAGCAGCCCTGGAACCCGTATCTGGAACACTGCTCTCCTGACGACTTTAGAAGGCATCTGACTCTTTTTGCGCAAACCCATAAAAAACCCCATAGTCCACTCAACTTCTTTAAAGTGCACAGCGGCTGAAACATGCCAATGATGCCTCGTTACACATGGCGGACTTCAGGGCCATCAGAAGCTATTCTTCCGTTGCCACGGCAAATGTCCCTTACACTTTCACACCTAGCGTGAAAAAAAAGCGGAAGACGAAACGAATTTTTTGCTCAATGCTTCTTAAGGAATCAGAGATT